ATCTCTATATATACTTATTTATTATTATTATTATTATTATTATTATTATTATTATTATTATTATCTATTATTATTATTATTATTATTATTATTATTATTATTATTATCTACTTGAAACTGGGAAAGAAATATGAACAAGATATGGAATATTTGCAAATTGATTGTTCATTTTCCGAGCATACATACGCCAGCAAATATATAGTTCTCTATGTCAGTATGCATGTGTGGTTTTGAGGACACCACTGAATTAGAAACACAATTTTTATGTTATCTTAGGTTTGGGAAGTTTCTAAAACTTTGGCCACCTGTGAGAAGGAGGAAAGGCGGGAGACACAGGGTAGGCGTACTCTTTATTTTTCTTAATAAAGTACCATCTGTGACTGTTTCAAAATATTAATTAGGTTTCCCTCGTTCGTAATTGTGTGGGTGGTTGAGTGACAAATAATGTTAGCACAAAATAAAATAGTGAGGGATGAAAAACAGAAATATGCCAACCTCAAGCTGATGAAAGAGTTCACCAGCTAAATTGATTTATATATGGGTTGATTTTGGTGTTACTTTGGTTAGTAAAACAACTGCCAACTTTGGTTAATACTATTCTCAAGTTCTAGAACCGGCCACAATCAACGGATGCATGTCGTCTGCACGTTGTATGTTTCCCTTTTATTTCAATTTGTTTTTTTACTTAATCTAGAGACATCTAATTAGTTGGGTTCGTCTTTCTTCTAATTTTCTTGATAAACCACCTCACTCCCCCAATGTTGGAAGTGCATGGAGTGTTCATTTGACCATCACGTTGATCTCATGACAATATACGACAAAAGGAACTTATTGTGATTTTGCACATAATGTTTTGTATTGTAAGCTTGTAATAAGATTTTCTAAAACTAAAATTTTTGTGATATTAATTCTCATTCCAAGTAGACATGGGTAGATAGATAGATGAATAAACTTGATAATTAGCCATTTTGTTTATGAAAATTTTGCATTGCATGGCTAATAATCAGCAAAACAGAAGCCTAACAGTAGGGAAAGAAAGAATATCTAGTATTAACCATGAATACATCAAAAATCTATAAAGAACATATTCTACTTCACAAACGACCGACAAGATTATGTTAATAAACTTGAGTCTCACATCATTTAAGTATAAAAATAGTAAGAGATTTATAAGAATTTTGAGTCATACCACTTAAAAAGTTGGAAGTTTTAATAAGATGGAACCTTAAGCCTTTAAAGTGATCCCCACATGGTATTTGAGTCCAAAAACACTCAAACAAGTGGCCAGATCCATTTAGTACAACATTGGTTATTCCAGAGAGAGCACCATATTTAAAGTTTAAAATAAACTTAAGTCTGATCATATTAGCTAAGTATAAAAATAATCGTACACTTATAAGAATAATGGTGCATTATATTTAATAGATTGACCTTTTAAGATGCTATCCAAGCCCTTAGAAAATTCTTTTTCTATAATAGTTTCAGAGCCTAATAAGCACCATCTCGAGGGGATGGATGTAACGATAAAATTAAATTCGAATCAAGTCATCTAAATATAAACAAAAAAAAAGTAAATAATCATAGATTTATAAAGATAATGGGTCACTCTAGATTGACCTTTTACAATTGAACTTCAAGTCCTTGATAATGGGTCACTCTAGATTTATACAAATTAACACATATGCACATACAAATAAATATATGTATATGTAGTGTTAATTGATAGTTAATAGTTTTTTATGCAAAAATTCATTAAACACTCAATAATAGTAGTTGACTTTAAAATAGAAATCAAGCGAACTCTTAATATTAAGAAATTGGCACCAGTGATTGTAAAAGAGTACGTACCATTGCCCCACAAGATAGGGGAATTTATAGGCGATCAGAAATGACTGATAATAGTGATAGAGTTGACTTCTGCCAAGGGATTATCCTTCTTTAGCATAGATTAAATGAGTTAATTATCTTAATGGAAAATTGTTTTATGGGTGCTTGCTCTTTTCTCTGTAGTAAAACACAGTATTAATGCTTGGGGGCAAAACACATACGGATTTGGGAATAGCGCGCTCAATACGTAATGGTCGAGCTTCCGCTCGAATACGGAGTAGCTCATCGTCTTGCTTGAATAAAAGATGGGGTGGGAACAAGTACATGGAGTGGTGAAGCCTCCTGCTCGGACACGAAATGGCAGATGAGTGGGAACGACATATACAGAGTGACACTACTGAATGCGACTGGCGTATTCAAAGTGGTCGAGCTTTTTGTTTTGCTTTGATACGAATTGGCAGAACGACTCAGAAAAAAGCAAAGCGCAGCCGAATCGATAGGATAGTTTTTACCGGTCTAATCTGGACGGAAAAAAAGACTCAAGGTCTAAATCTATTTAAAAGAAATCTCACAAGGGAAAAATTCTGAAATTGTCGAAAAACTAACTCTAGTATTCTATTGTCAAGTCTCCAACTACAATAGCTAATGAGGCTATTTATAGTCCACTTACAAAATGATAACAGAATATCCATAAAGATAAACGACAAACTAATAATTAACGAGATAAATCTAATTAGAAAGTTAGAATAAATGACAACAACAAAAAAATATAAAAAAAACAAATGTTAATAACTAAATCTCCCTGCATCATGTCCCGGTTAACAAAGCATGTGTGGTCAAAGTGAAGGCAACATTAATACTTATTTTTAATGTGATAAATATACCCTCAACAACAGTAAATAAATAAATAAATAAAATCCAAGTTTATATCTAACTTTAATTAGCATTCTTTCATTATTTATCCCAAAATTTTGGTTATAGTGAAAATTGGCGTGTACATAAATTTGAACAAATGCAATTATCACCGTTCAGAAATTAAACTGATGATGAGTACTCAAAAATATCTTTAGCATTGATCAACTCTTATATAAGGTACTTGATTTGAAGCTCATCACATCGCTCCTCAACGTAAAAACAAAACAAAACCATGACTCATGAGTCTGCAGTGGTACCACAGTGAAGGATATACCTCAACCTCAAGTTGGTATACTAGCATTGAACAAACTAGAAAAGACACATGCCCTACAACCACAATCCAATTTATCCAAATTAATCCCATGAACAGACGAAGCCCATATCCTCAACTTGAATCACCTTCTATAAGCTATAGATAGTGAGTGACCAAGAAGTAATATGGCCTTTTTTTTCGGTGGATAAAAATAAAATAAAATAAAATAAACGTACTCTATGATTCTCATATGTAATGAAGCTTATATTGAATGGACCCTCTAAACCACCAAAGCACTTCCTTAATAATTTTATTCCAACGATAAACCGCCCGCAATTTGTAATGCACAGCCATTTAGCTTCATCGCCTGGCCCTTCCCTTTTGTTTTCGTCGTTTCTTTTTGTCTCCAATATACCAACAAGTCTTATATATTCTTCTTTATGATCATCATAATGCTAAATGACCCATGTGGCATTCCCTCCCCTCGACGTTGCTCGATTAAACATTTTGGTTATTGACTTGAGATGATGTCAAAAGGACAATATACATAATATATGAGTGTCTATTTTCTTAAACTTAATTAGTAAAAGTTATATTTTAGTCAATGAAATTGCTTGAGGATATTTTAGCTATTCCAATAAATGTGAGACTTTTTAAGTAGAGTGCATGACAATCACTTTGCTATTATAATGGTGAAACTAGGATATTGTACGAGCCACATTGTAGTGCATATTGATATGAAAATAAATAAATTTATGTATATGGCACGTGGAAAACCTTCATTGACATACCCATTTACATCTAACAAATAGTTAAGATCTTTTGCAAAGTTGACCCGAAAAATCAATGTTCATCTCCATTTTCAGATTAGACAGCCATGAATGGACTAATCACCACTGAAATATCTCAGCTCATTTGCTTTGAGGTCACCTCGTGGAAAAGCTTACCAGTGGAGGTTACGTTTTCTTTTATTGTTTCTATTTTTTATGGTCTATTAGTTGAAAACGCGCGCTTTACACGCGTACTTCATTTAAAATAATAATTATATGAATCACCTGAGGAGAAAAAAAAAAAAAAAAAAAAAAAAAAAAAAAAGGAAAATAAATAAATAGCTGAACTTTGTCTGAGTCGGCAGTCATCATATTGTCCGATAATGTGCCTTTTAAGAATTGAAACAAATCCACTAATGAGAAATCGCCATTAACATAAACCCCATTGGCTAATCTTGCACTTGCTTAGGAAATAGAATCTACTTACCGTTTTGGATTTTCATTCTTTCCCTTTTCTAGCCTTGATTAATAATTATTAAATAAAACTACTCAAGATGTAACTAATGTCGGTTGTTTTGCCTAATTAAGACAACAAATGTCAAGGGATTCACTTGATTGCAATTTTGAACACTTTTTACCACCTGCATTGGATGCTCTCATTGGCTCATTTGTTCATCCTCAATACGTGCACAATGAAGGTGAAACAAACTAATTTCAAATTGGTTATTCTTGGTTCCTCACGTAAAAAATCAATTGTTGTAGTAAATTATGATACTATGATCTGCAATACGAATTATATGTACTAATTTTGCAACATAACACCATAAAAAAAATACTACACCACGGATTAATGTTTTTGTTTTCTCCTTTAAAAAAAAAAAAAAAAAAAAAAAAAGAAAAGAGAGAGAGAGAGAAAGAAACTGCCTATGAGCTATAATAATCTCTATAAATGTACACTATCTATATATGTCAGCTACCACATAAATATCTCTTACCACTAATCAAATGAAGACTCAGAAAAGAAAACTAATGGAATTGGAGAAAACAACTTAAAAAGGATTTAAAAAAGAAAAAGGGGCAAAGAATATACCTGAAAGAAATACAGTCTAATTAATAGTCATTTGAGCAAATATTGAATATTAAAAAGGAAACTGGTATATATGTATTTCATAGTATATGATTCAGGAGGACTATGTTCAAACCCCGAGAACAGAGAGTTTACAGAGATGAACATGGAAAATAAAGCTCTCTACATTCATATAATAACTTCCCTTTCCTTTTCTTTATACACAAACATGTACGTATAATTATGAAGTGAAAAAATAAGCAGAAACCAGCTGAGCTCCAATACCTACGTACCCGAAAAGCTACAAGCTGGCTCTCTAAAACCTCTCACTCTACTACAACAAACGACAACAAACAAACTAAAACGACAACAAAAAATAAGAAAGCAGAGGAGATTCCGGGGACGTAATACATCACCATCCCTCTGGTATTTCTCTTCTGAAAAGTCTGCCCAAACCCAAATCTACAAACCCCGCAGACCCATTATAACTAAGAAACTGTATATATATACTGCGATCACCTTCACATCTGCTTCTCCAAATCCTTGGAGCTTATAAAAGTACCGTGAAAACCGTATGGGACTCTTGAGGGAAGGTCTATGGAAGCTTCGAGCTTCATGTTCATGGCGTTAATGATTTGAAGCTGTGATTTCCATTCCTTCTCGTCATGAACAAACGCCAGAATATATCCATCGTCTTCTTCCGAGCTAAAGTTAATATCAGACTCTCTAGGCAAAAACAGAGGCTCACCGCCAAAGCGTTGATCCCCATACAAGTACTTGGTCACTTGGCCAGTAAACAAGTCCACTTTAGCAAAACCGGAGACTTTCGGCCACGGCTCAGCCAGCGCAAGGTACGCGAACCGGGTTTTCCGACCTAGCTGGTTACGGTTCACCATCCCGGCTTCCAAGTTCACCTGTTCCGAATCGGTAATGATGGGTCGCCGAGTCGACTTGCCGGTTTTGAGATTTAGCCTGATTTCCGACAAGACGCTTTTTAAGCTCTCTTCACATTCGTTGAAAATGGAGTCCGCCGGCGTCATGCAGGATCCGATCACGACGATCTCGTCGCTCTCGGGCTCCTCCCAAGCATTCCATAAGTGGAAGCAGAAGCAATCCGGAGCTTCGATCCACTTAATATCCTTTTCACCCTTTGCATTCTTGTCTAAGACCCCGAATCTTGAGGTCTTGTTCTTGTCGTAAACCACCGGAGAGCCTCCACGGATCATCTCCGGCAATTTGAACACGACCTGCTGATCGGGGATGACGACAAAGTTTTCAGTGATGGCGAAATCGTGCATCATAGTCGGCTGATCGATAGGGATTTCGACGTCGTCGGATTTCTTCCCGTCGGTGGAGAATTTGAAGTATTTGAGGTAAGGCTTCTTTATGACGTCGTAGCTCAAAGCGAAGAGCTCGCCGGAGACAGGATCGAGCTTTGGATGGGCGATCATGGCGGACTTGAGCTGACCGTTGAAGTCGAACCGGTCGACCGTTTTTAAATCTCCGGCGGGAGTCACCCTCACGTGGTAAGGCAAGTCGTCTTCTGACATAGCGAGGAGGCGGCGGTTGAAGTAGACGAGGCCGGCGTTGGCGACGCCCATGCCGTGGCTGGCATCGACGAGGCCGAAGAGTCCACGGGCGTAGAAGAGGAGGAGCCTGGCGATGCCGGAATGGCCGTGTAGCTCGCCGATTGCCTTCGGGAAGACCGGTCGACCAAGGGCCCGCTCCTGGACGAGCCGCTTAGTCTCGGTGAACCGACAGGCGTAGCTGGCGGCGCCGTTATTGAATTTGACGGCGTGGACCATGCCGTCACCGTCAAAGAAGTGGTGGCCGGCGACCGGCTCATAATGGGGGTTGGCGCCGTTTCTGACGTAGACTCCCTCAATGCAATTCGGGACTTTCCCGGTCACAGGAAGTGAGTGCTGGACCGGCTGCTCCGGCACCGGAGCAAAGTTTCCGGCAATTTGGACTCGAGGGTCGGCAGTTTTTGGAAGCGGGTGGCGGCGCTCTTGGGCTACCAAGGCGGTTTCTGCCGCGTCCAGCGCTGCTGCGGCGGCTCTCTGAAGGAGGTTCCATTGTTGGTTTGGCAGAGAAATAGTATTCTTAGAAGAATTGTCTTTTGGGGTCTTGATTTTGGGGATTGGATTAATGGTTGTGGGGGCTTGGTAAGTCGGAGTGGTAGTGGTGTGTTTGGGAATTCTTACAAGAGAAGGGGTTTGAAGAGAGCAAGTTATGTAATTGGTCCTTCTTGTATTTGCAGAATTATTAGTTCTTGTGCTTGAACTTGAAGGAAGGATTTGGGAATTAACCCAAGTGTTGGTAGAAGTTGATGAAGCCATGGGAAATCTGTTTTAGCACTAATTTGTAGTAGTAGAATTGGTAGTGATTTTAGAGAGGCTTCTTTTGATTGGCTTGTGAACAAGGGGGCTGTGGGAAATTGAGATTGTTGAAATTAATGGTGGTTTTTGTGACTTTGCCTTATTGTACAGATTGTGATGGCCCTTTATTGATTGGCTTGGTGGGGTTTTTTTTTTTTTTTTTTTTTTTTGTTGGAGGAAAAGAATAGACAGAGAGAGGAGTGAGAGTGACACTAGTAATGGAATAAGTTCAGCAAATGAATGTGTGTGAGAGGGTAGATTTGAGGAGAGAGTGGGGGGATATATATACATAAGGTGGAGAAGGTTAGGGAGGCAAAAAAGAGGTCCACCTGAGGCATGTAGTAGAAGACCACGTGTTACATTGCTAGAAAGGAGCACTCAAAAATTTTGGATTTGCCAATAAGTGATCAAAACGAGGTGGGGGGTGGGACTAATAGGGCCATTGCTTCTTAAGACTTTGCCACGATACCCGGCCTTTCTTTTACTTTACGACCCTTATTTTATTCTTGTTTGCATTTAATTGTCTTTAATATAAAGTGTTTAGTATTCCATTTTATCCTCAGAAAGTTCGTTGGACATTTTCTCTAATAGACTAATAGCCTTAGAGGACATGACAAATTTTGGAAACTCTACCAACATCCAATAAATGTTTTTTTTTTTTTTTTCTTTCTTTCTTTATTGTTATTTTTTTACTAATTTAATATTCAAAAATAGTTACTACATATTTTCTACCACAAAGGTCTTCAAATTTTGTTCAATCTACTTTATGCTAAAAGTATCAGCTGAGCTAGGATAGCTCCAAAGAACAGGGGTACTAGAAATTTGTTTGAAATGGTGTAGCAGAAACATACAAAAATGGTACTAATTTGAGTTTCCTCATTGGCCAATTCACACTAGATAGGTTTAACTTTAAAAGGGAGACTAATGGGGGAAGTTGGTTGTTCTTTTGGGTGGGAAGGTTTATTGGTGCACAAGGTACACGTCTAACCCCGCGTTCTGCCCTCTAAAAAAGGAGACATAGGGTCACATAGTCACCATGCATTTGTATACGTGGCACAATTTATTGGGTCTCCTTATTCACCCTGAAATCTAGTTCACAATCAAAGACCCCACACGCTTGCCTTTCCTTCCTATATTTACTCTTTTTTTTTCCCCCCCCTTTAAGTAGACGTTAATTAAGCTTTTGCAATTACTCTAACTATAGATTATATTAAAACACAATAATAAAATTATAGAACACAACAAAAGACATGCACCTTTTTTCTCTAACGAAATCATTAAAAACTCTATATTGCCAAACTTCCTTTGTCCACACGTCTTCCTCACTACAAAATTATTAGTACGTATCTCATTTGTACATTTTTCTTTTACCATTATGATTAATAGTAAACAGATTTATCTATATATAAAAATAGTAAACGGATTAGATTTTGACTTGGATTCCTTGTAGAGACAATTAATATGGATAATGTGTATGTATTCTCAAACCTAGCACAACTAATTAATTTTGTTATGAGCTATTTATGTGTTATTACTTATGTATCATATGGTGTGCTTTTATATAGATATATTTGTGTAGTGTGAAATGTGTGTATAATTAACAATGCAGATCCTTGGTGTTGACACTTTTGATTCTACCTACTTCTGTAGTCTTCTTATAGTCAAGAGTTGTGGGGGAGATAGGTGGTCCTATACGAAATTGTGTTTGATCGAATTACTAGATTTTCCAAGAAAACGTATTGTGAATGGGTTTGGTACTTCAGTAAATTAAGGGATCCTTGGTCAAAATTCCGTTCTATATAATTTCTTTTAAGTAGTTAAGTCAATAAAGTAGTTCAGATTTTTTTTTTTAAGTGCTATTGTAAGAATATGGTAGGCAACATTGATGAAAAATCTATCATTTAAAATTTTGTATACATATATGTCTTGGAAAATCTATGATTTAGTGTGTATGAATCTCATCTTTTGCTAGTCAAAGGGAGAAAATGTTTAATTACTTGTAATTTATAAATTCTCTTCTTCTTGTTTTGTATTGTCATAATATGTCATGAACCACTATCTTTATTACAAGTTATTGAATCCTATTTTGACCACAAGCATCATTTTAATGATAAATAACCTAATCGTGCATTTCATTTTAGTAACTGTTAGGGGTAAAATCATTACCACGATCATCACTATATACATATATAACATTTTATGAACATCACCATATACATATGTAAACATTATATGAAGAATGTCAACTACAGGTATTAATTGGCCAAAGAGCGACTCGAGAAACAGTATTGACAGAAGAGGAGGGACGAATTGATTAGAGACCAATGAGGACAACCAATGATAAATCAGGAAAGCAACATTCTTGAAGTCTATGAAGATCAAATCAACTAAATCAGGCAATAAGAATTAGAATCGAATCAAACTTGGATAGCAAGCTTCCCCAACACAAATGAGAAAATAAGGAAAAAAAGAAGTCAACTGAAGCCATATAAGGAAACAGCCCTTTTCTTAAATCAATATCGAATCCACTCAAAAATTAAGAAATCAAGGAGTCTCAAACCATCTTCTATAAATAGTGCATTGTTACAACTAATTAAGAGGATCATATTCTGCATATTAACTCTATCTATCAAGGAGTCTGAAACCATCTTCTATAAATAGTGCATTGTTACAACTAATTAAGAGGATCATATTCTGCATTGAAAGTATATAGTGAAACCTCGAAACCTTACAATATACTTAGCTTTCATATTTAACGTAAATCATTATAAATCCGTGTGTTCTTTTATTTTTATACACTTTAATTTCTCACTCTAACATCTAATCAACTCGAGATCAAATCGACTCATTAATCTCGATCGACACCTGAAAACGGCCACTGACCCTCTAAATAAATTTAATTGTAGAATGTGAACTCTACAATGACTAAGTCCTAGCCTGTCAAATTAATATTATTAGTTAGTATGGTGCCGATATGTAAAAGCCAGCTAGCTATAGCTGCCTTCAGTCCCAAACATGAAAAGAACATACTAGCTCTCATTTATAGCTTCCTTATTAAATAAAAATAAATTTAGCTCCTTATGACAAACAAAAGTTGGTCGCTAGAGCTATAAAAAATTTTCCTTGTAATATTATATACATGCAAAAAGAGAATTTTTAGAAGTTTTGATGACCATACACTACAGTACATATAGTTAAATTAGTACTAATGATTTATGAGTTTCCAATAGTTACATTTATATCGATAGTTACTTATTAAATATAAAAATTTAATAATGTAATGTGATAAAAATATAATCTCATTAAACGTAAATCATTCTACTCAATACCTAATTTATTACAATTATTAAATTAATATTAATTAAAACAACAATACTATTAACAGATAAATATTAGATTAACTATTAAAACCACTCCCAACACTCAAATACTTGGCAACATTTAATAGTTTCTCTTTATTAACCACCCTATACAGTAACTAGTATGATTAAAAAAATTTAAATCAACACCAATAATTGGCATAAAAACCTGCCGACCCTTTTTACCTAAGTACTAATAGTTTACTCCGCAATTGGGAGACAGGTGACAGTTAGGTGCCCCGTTCAAGAGCATTGGCTTTCTGATCTGTAGTATTCTTCATTTTTCTCTGAGAAAATCTCCTGTAAAAGATTTTCTTCCTGACCCCAATTAATTAAGTATTATTATTATTGTTACTAGTAATTATAAATAAATAAATAAAAACTCGTTTGTACAATTTATTGGTAGAGATTATTAAGGATATTAATTTGCTTTTATGTTTATTTACTTTTCTATCCTTGTATTGGTATTATATATATCACACTTTTATTTATCAATAATGTAGTAGTTTTCCTATCATGGTATCACAAGCCTAAGGTTCTGAAAACCCTAGAAATTTTCTCCCACCACCAACTGCCGCCCGCCAGCCTACACTGCCAACTGCTCATCGCCGCTACTCCCCACCGGTGCATCCCCAGCCGCCACTTCTCCCAACCATGGCCGACCCCACCACACTCCCTGACTCCCAAAATTTCGCCCTCTCCTCTCCCTCTGCCATCTCTTCTCGCCCAATTCTTTCCACCACCACAGATGTCACCACCAATTTAATTGCTATCAATGTTGCGGCACAAGTTCCCCTCAAATTAACTGCTACAAATTACTGTGCATGGCACGCACAATTTGATTCCCTCTTGATCGGGTATGACCTATACGGTTATGTTGATGGCTCTCTTCCGTGTCCACCCAATAAGATCAAAGCACCTGACTCCGATACTGAGGTTCCCAATCCGGCTTATCTCTTCTGGATTCGCAGGATAAATTACTGCTCAACGCAATTATAGGGTCTCTGACTGCCAGTCTTGTTCCTTTTATTGCTTCCAAGAAAACGTCCTTTGAGGCGTGGAAAACACTTGAGAAGACATATGCTTCCCCGTCACGTGGTCGCATCATGAAATTACGCCACAAACTTGCCACTCCGGTAAAAGGTTCTCGCACAATTACCGAATATATGCAAGACATTCAGTCGTGTATTGATTCTCTTGCTTTCATGAATAAACCAGTTGATTTTGATGAATTATCCATTCGGATTCTGAATGGACTAGATGACTCCAACAAGCACCTCTCTAGTGCCATTCAAGCGCGGGAAACACCAATTGATTTTGATGAACTATTTGAAAAATTGCTCCATGAGGAAGCCCAACTAAAACTCACAACTGCTCCAACCCCACCGCAACCGGCAACTGCTTTTGCCGCACAGTCCCGCGCGGACGTCCCCACTCCGTGGCAGAACAACTCGGGCGGCTGACCTCACCACAATCGCCACACCAACCGGCCTCAACAACAGTCCCAATTTTATCCTCCTCCTGCCGTGCCAACATGGAGTCCCCGTCCGCCTTCTCCGGCGCCCACCTCTGGTCGCGGCTATCAAGGAAATTGCCAAGTCTGTGGCACCATCGGTCATTCTATTCGTCAGTGCCGCCTTGTGCTATCGCATACATGGGATACCATCCCGGCACCGCCTCGTGGCCCACCACATGTCAATAATGCCACCCATTATCCTGCTCCTGGTGCTCATTCTGATTGGGTTGTTGACTCTGGTGCTTCTCACCATGTCACCAACGATCTGGCTAATCTGTCGCTCTACCAGCCCTACAATGAGTCAGAATATGTAGTCATCGGTGATGGTACTTGTCTTTCCATTAAGAATATGAGATCCATGTCTCTTTCCACGTTGCATGGTTCTCTTTCTCTCACAGATGTTTTACAT